AAAAGGAAAAGAAAAAACAGATATCGCAACAAACTGGGGTCAGGCCTCATCAATTGTGGTCTTGATTTGTCTCCAATGAATAAGATTGCCAAAATAAAATTGTGGGAAATTAATGAGGTGTAGATCAGGTGCAACCATGGCCGCAGCTGAAGTTGGTGGGGGTGGGACTGAATATACAACAAATTTGATCGAAGAGAGAGTCAACTGAGAAGCTGTTCCAATGATAACAGCGGGACCTTGGACCTTTCTGTTGATATTTTCCTAGTAGTTAATGTGGTAAACATGAGAAAGCTTTGAAGCCATTTTCAATCTAAACCATCAAATCTCATTTAATAAAAGTTTATCAAGATCATTTTCTTATAATTGAAGCAAAATTTGCTTAGGAGGAGATAGTGCTGAATGCAAAACAGACTTAAAAAATTGCTAGAAAATTTTATCACAATAATTAGCATTCGGATGAGAACAGTATTCATACGTAGAGCACAAGGTATTTCGATGGTACAGCGCTATCAATAGGCTATATGCCTATATCTATTGTATCTGGAAGAAAAAAAAATGAAAAGTAGAGGCCGAGGAGATGGCCCATCAACCATACAAACAGATAACATAACGACATGCTCTCTTCTCTGATTAGAAAGCCGGGTTGCCCTGTCTGTTGCTTTTCCTGAAAGGTCCTTGAGGCTTGAGAGGCACTCTCGTGACCTAAAGAATTTTGCTTTTGCAATTGCCTGGGTGTGAATTGTTACAAAAGGGATGGCATTGGCACTGCACAATAGAGCTAGTAGCTCTTTTTCTTTCTTTCTTTCTCAATAGGTATATCATGTTGAATAAAAATAAGTTTGGGTTGTCCCACAAAGCAGTTTCTGTTGAGAAGAAGCAATCCCTTCTAGGGATTGTTGTGTGGGGCTTCCCCCTAAGATAAAGGCTAGTATTGCAGGGTAGGATAATCTTTATATAAGGCGATATGCCCTGTCGTACATTCACATTTGAACTAGAGAGGAACAAGGTTTGCTCTTCTCTTACAAGTTCCCTAACCATGGTAGACAGTACCTTTCAATCTATACGGGTGAATATCCAGCTCTATATTTTTCTTTTACCCTTTTTTTCTTTCTCTTCTCTCGTTCCAAACAAAAGTCTAAAACAACTTTAGAGAATGTTGGCAGCTGTTATCCTCACAAATTGACAAAAAGATGCATAACTTCATGTTGCTAGGTATGTTGAAAGAGTTAATTGGGGTGGTTTTCCTAATAATTTTGTAGCTAATAATCATACCTATGGTGATCATGAACATCTAATTACATATATATCAAACGTAACCAGACAATCCATATGCACTTGAAACATTTTCACCAAAAACTAAATCACCAACAATATAATTTATATAAAAAAATTCGGATGATGTGAATTTTTGGCACCCATGCTCAGAATGAGAAACCATATTAAGACACCGTATCCCCAACCAAAAGAAAGGCCAGAGAAATGGGCCAGCAACTCTCTGGCGCAATAAACCAGCCCCAATATGTGCTGCCAATTATCAAGAAGAGCTGGACCACTAACTATTCGGGGCAAATTAAGAGAAGTTGAGTCACTCTATCGGTCTGCCTCTCACTTCTCATCTATCTTTGGAAACCCTATCTTGGTTGCACCAAATCTAGTGGAATCAAGCAGATCCTATGTCAATAGTTTTTTTTGGTTATAATTAGAGAACTTGTTGCAAATGTTCTGTCTGATTCTGCAACAACTTAATTTTCAAATAGGTACGTAGGTTGACATATCAAATTTTTAACCCATAATTTGCAACCTTTATTAAACCAAGTTTAAAGCAGCCTGCCAACAACTATGTTATGCTTGCAATCTTGTATGATCTTATAAAGATCTTGTAATTGTAAATACAATATGCATAGGATAGGAGTAGAGTGGGGGTAAGGTTGTAAGAAGACAAAATCTTGTCCATTTAGCAGTGCAATTATCATCTATAAAAAAATTTTAGTCAATTAATTTCAAGGCTGTAGTTAGGCATCGGATCCGATTGCCAACCATGAAGAAATGCTGGTCTCCCCAAAGGTCTAACAGTAGGAACAACCGTCTTCATCTTGGAAATCTTGTAAAATTATATTCTCTCATATATAAACATGTGTGTGTGCCGACTATAATATTAATATGGTGCCATGCACGAAAAATCAAAGCAGATCTTAAGGTTCATGCATAGTGGAAGAACAACAAACTGGCAAATCCAAAGACACTTTTTCTTCCATTTGTCTAAGCAAATTCATTATCTGGCGATTCTCAAACATAGTTATCCAAGTAATTTGTCGCCTTTCTAAGCTTCACAAATTTTAGCAGTTTAATATGATGAAGCAGACAAAATGTTTTCATACAATAAATTAATATAGCCAAGGAACTAATATTATAATAAAAGACTTGGCTGCATTTTTGTCACCATTGAAGCAGTTTACATGTTTGAAAAAGGATTCCAAATTTTAAATATGGCATCTAGTTTTAGCTTTGGATTTAAATATGGAAATCGAATTCAGTGACTTAAAAGATTTGGCATTCGTGTAACTTTTGACCTCTTATTATTGTCCAAAGTGGTCGTATATTCTGCTTTATAGACCTACGTAACCGAGACTTCGTGGTGGCATATCAACACGTCTCATCTAATTTACGGAAAAGGTTATTTGAATGGGGAACAAAAGCAATACTTTCTCTTGCTGATCATCAATAGAACGGCCATATCCCTCTAGTTCTTATCACCTTATTTGAATGTTTGTCTTTTTTTTTTTTTTTGGTGTCATTTTTTTTATAGGATCCTACGCCAAATTTCCTTCCTGAAATGAGAATATAAATATTTGCAGATTAGACATGATAAATTAACATATTAAAATTGAATAAAAAAAAAAGAATAGTATCTAATATATAATGGACTCTTTTTTATTTGAAATTATAAAATATTTCATGTGAAATTTAATCATGTGGCTCTTGGTTATTATATTCTAATTTTATATAGAAGCAATCAAATGCAAACATTTTTTTGGAAACGGTAACTTATGGCTTTCAAGTTCCTCTGCAATGTAACCGTAGTCTGTAGATTGATAGGGCAAAAAATATGTGGCTAACGTTATTTTATGTGCCCAAGTGTTATCCCATCGGTTACTTATTCCAAAAGCTGACACCAAAAATTGCAAAAACAAAAGGCTTCTTTTTCGCCTTCCATGTCTTTCTGCCTTCTGATCTAACCGATTACGGCTCACTTCATGCTGCATGCACAAACAAAATGTCTCTCCTCTCACTCAATAAGAGCGCGAATCTTAAATCGTATTTCAGGTATAAAATTATTGATAAAATATAATGAGAATTATATTTTATTTTATTTTAAAAAATAAAATTATAAAAAAATTAATTAATTTTTTAATATTTAATAATTCAATCATTTTAAAATAAAAAATAACTATAATATTATTTTATCTTACCTTATTATAATTTTATTATATATAAAATACACCCTTAATTTCTTGCTCTTCCTGATTTTTGGAAGGAATAATTTTTGGTTTTATACCAAAAATAACAAAAACGTTTGCTTTGATAAAAGGAACAAGAGAAAGTTCAAAAATAAAAGAAACAAGTGTGTGGTTCTCTTGAGAGACCGACGCCAAACGGTCTCACCTACTTTTACGTGCGGTCCATTATTCCATAATTTCAAAGCTTCAATGTGAAGAAATTTTCCCAACAAAAAAAAAAGTTATCATAATAAATATAAGTAAATTAAATTGTAAATGTCATAGTGTAATTTTTTTAATTACTTTTCGTTATTTCGTTTAACTCTTTGGACATTCAGTTTAAAGGATTTCAATTAAATTAATCTCACTTTCTTATAATACACTTAGACCAACTAATGAAAAAAAAAAGCCAAATTGAAGGAATTTATGAAATTTTTGTTTACCAATCTTAAATTCAATGTATAATTGATTATTGGAAGGACCAAAAGTCCCAAAGTAACTGCAAAATTTCCATAATAATTATAATTAGTTTTAATTAGATTTTAATATAAAATTAATTATGTAGGAGTTACAAATAATTGTTAAAAATTATTTAAATTGATCAATTAATTTAAATCCTGGCTCTCGAGGACACTATAGAGCCATAATTCGGCCGTTTGCCCGATTCTTGGCCTTCGATATTTTATTTTATATAAAAAGAAAAATCCCCTTTTGGTAAAATTTGTATGAGTTTTTTTTTCTTTGTTTTTTTAAAAAGAAATCAAGAAAATGAAATGATTTGTCAATTAGGTTGAAAAGTATTTAAATCGAATTAAGATTTTAATGTTGACTTGAACAAATAAAATTCCATATGTTTGCCGACTATTTGGACTTATTCTCCTTAGATAAATAGAATAAAATTTTCCAAGATCACATTCTTTAAAATTTATCCAAAATAATGGTCTACTGACTCTACTCTTTTATTTCCTTGAAGAAAAAACCCTTTTTGGTGTAATTTTTAATTTTTTCAACTTTTTTACTAGTAAAAAAAATTATTAATATTCATTTATTTTTTAGATCTTATATATATTGCATGCTTTAAATTAAAACGTACTTTTTTAAAATTATAATTATTATTAAATATTATATTTATATAAAAAAATAATTAAATAAATAAATCAATTAAATTTACACTTAATAAAACTTAAATTTAAAATCTCAACTTCTCAAATTTATTTATTTATCGCTGAATCAGGGCCTCTATAACTTGAAACTCGTTTTAGGTTAGAATTCCACTATTTACACGTAGTAAGATAACATCTTAAAATAAAGTTTTAATATATTTTTTAAATAAATATTTTTAATAAAATATGACAAGCTTTTTATAATTAAATAAGTATATTAAATTTGAATTATGAATAATATTTTTAATAATTTTTTATATATTATTAATTTTTTACATTAATCTTTATTAATGTATTGGTTTAAATTTTTTTATTAAAATATTTATTAAATCATTGTAAAAGGCAACTTCACAAATCATCTTCGCATAAGTTTTTGTCTCTATCTCTTTTCTTACAGTTTATTTTAGCAGCCACAAGTCTGACAACTCGCAAGTCTCCTATATGAACATCTCTTCAATCTCCCCATAGCAGAACCTTATTCTGTTCTCGTGCTTCAGACTGGAATCCAAGCATCCATCCACTGCCCAAAACCACCAAAGTCACCCACTTCTACTTTCCTATAAAACCAAACTCAAAAGCCCAAAAGAAGATCAGAACAAGAAACAGATGCACGATGGCTATGAGATCCATGTCTATGTCTGAAAACGGAAACCATTAGCAAATTCAACAGAAACCCATTTCTCAAATTCAGATTTTAACACTGGCCATTTGATTATTTTTCGCTTTTCTTGACAAAAAGATTATGAAGAAAATTAGAGGGTTCAAGCTTGGACGCAAGCTAGTGAAGGTTTTCAAATGGATAATCCGACCCAGAAGAAGTAACTACACGAATAGTTTCTTGACACCGCCGAGCAGAAGCTACAACCCGTTATCCAGAATCTGCTCATTTGTGCGGTTTCTTCTACGTGGAAGAACCAAGTGGTTGTGTAATTCGAATTCGGATCCTGGCTATATCCAATTGGGTGAGGAGGGAGTGAAGAAAGTTGGGGTACCGAAGGGGCATCTTGCCGTGTACGTGGGCGAATCAGAAGGTGACACAAGGAGGGTGGTACTGCCTGTGATTTATTTTAATCACCAGCTATTTGGGGAGCTATTGAAGGAAGCGGAGCGGGTTTACGGGTTCAATCAATCGGGTGGTATCACGTTGCCTTGTGGGATTTCGGAGTTTGAGAAGGTTACGATGCGAATTGCCGATTGGGATCATTGCCGACGCAAATAACACAAACACCGTCTCTTTTTGTAACGATATCTTTCAATCTTATTGAAGATTTACGGTGGATAAAAATTTGATTTGGCAAATTTTTGTGAACATAGGATGTCCATGATTTTTAGGAGGCTCTGTTCTCTCTGTCTTCTTGTAGGACTTTTTTTTTTTCTTTTTTTTTTAACCACTCCCAATGGCTTAAGTGAAATTCTTCGGCATAATTTACGAGAATCATTGCATTAAGGCTCTTTTTCCTAAATTATTTCATTGGTGAATTTTTTTTTTTTTTTGAATTTTCTAATTTAGTTACAAAGGAGGATATGAGGCTTCAAACTCTGATAACCTCCCAGATGCAGTAGATGCCATGGCATCAGTTGGCTTTATTGGTGATTACTGTTAAGCTTATTTGAAGGTTAAAATTGCATCATTGAATATTAATTTTACTACAAATCTAAGCTCATCTTTTATCCTATTCTTGCAAAACAGCTGCAATGCATGTATAAGTAAACGATAAATATCTTCCTCTTTAACGTTGCATATTTTGAACTATAATTTTTGTCACTTTCGTCATTCAACTATCAAGACTTTTCCATTAGTTTAGATATATACTTAGGAATCTCCTCAGAATATTGTTGTCTGTTTATATAATGGTAGATAAGAACTTTTAAAATTTTATACATTGTTATAATGCTGGGGTGATTAAGTTTGATTTGATATTGAAAAATTATATAATTTTTGTTTATAAAAGAGACTACAATTTAGTGATAAAAAAAATGATTGTAAATGTTGAAATTTATTTCTTAATATTGATTACATGAATTAAAATATTTTAAATTATTCAATTTTTAAAACCTAACAGCTCATACATAAAATTTCAGGGATAATTTTATTTGCTCACGGAAATCTAAGTCACGTGCAAGTTTGACTTGCTAAAAAGAAAAGGAATAATTGTTAGATTAGTGTGTAGATGGCTAGGCTGCAAAAATAATTAAGACAGGCATTATCTAAGTACAAGAATCAAGGTGTCCTGACAAATGTGGATTTATTTAATAAGCTCAAAACACTTCATGTTAGCCAAAATGCGAAGCCGCCAAACGGCCAGAGTATTCGATTTGGATCGGGGAATTCAAGGCATTGAATCGATGCTGGATTGGATGATTTGGTAAGCTTTCGATGAGTTAAAGGTAACCTAGGATTCCAGATTTTTTTTGAAGGTAGAATATATGAATTGGTACAAAAACTTTGTTGAAATCAATGATTTGGAATTAAAGGATTTGAAAATGCAAATATGATCCAACTTATATCTCTATGTAAACAGAATATCATGCATCTATTCTCTAGTGAACACATTTGAGTGTGTCAAGTTCAAATATTAAAGAGTAGGTTAATTAATTATAAATGAAGAAAATTAATTTTTGGCTAAGTGAAAAAATAATTACTATTTCTTATTATGTAATTCAAAATTTAATAATCAATCCGAGGACCAAAAAAAAAAAAAGAATATTGGAAACAGCCTGCAATTCAACAGGTTAGCTACTTTAGATCAGCAACTCCCCGTGTTTTCAGACCATGACCCTTTCATAGTCCCTTAAGAATGGTATATAAGTCAAAGACAAGATGAGAAAAAGAATTAAATTTTCATTTTGAAGAAAGGATATTTATCAAACTTATAGACGAAGCACAGACTGAATCAGTTAGGTTATTTACATGTAAAATGGGAAAACTGGACCGAGTTGGAGACCAATTCCTCCAAGAATTATTTTCCTAGTCAATGCAATTTTGATGCCATTCATAGCTTGGGTCAATGATAAAAGAAAACTCAAAGACTAGAATTTCCGAACATGGGTGCTTGTTTATAATACATAGAGGACCAAAATTTGGCAAACTTGTCTGTATTACAGAAACTCTAGCTCCTCTTTGATTAATGTTGAATTAGCCATTTTGGTCCCCTATCTCCTTACGTATAGAATATGGAGAAAAATAGTAGTACCCCAAAGGAGAAAGTAGGGAAAACCTTTGCTAGCTGTTCAAAACTTGAAAGAAAGAATAATGCTATCGAATGATCATATACAGATATGAGAGATATTGGGGGACCAACGACCACTAAAAGGGACGAAAGAGGCAATCATAGCTATAACCTAGACCTACTCGGCCTTCTTGTCAAATAGTTTAGCCCCAAGGTCATGCTGCGCAAGCCCAAACTAGGCCTTCTTGTCTTTGAAGATAACTCAAACTTCGGGCATTGACTATGTCATTTTTTATAGAATTGCTACTAGCAGAAAAACAAACTCATAATATTATTTTTGAAAATAATCTGATTTCATGGCAGTACTAATAAATGCTTTATGTATATATTTTCCTCAATCAAGCGCTGTAGCCTTGAATTGAAGGGTGCCATTGAATTGGATCATGGCTGCTGCATGCAGCAACACAAGCTTTCTCCATTAAGGATTGGGAAACACCACTATTGCAAATGTTGGCGAATGCGCGCATATGTTTCATGCCGTTTTGAGTTAGAGACCCACGGTGTGTTTCGAACAAGCGAACCTGGAATGTAAATTTGGTTATAAACAATGAAGAAAGGAGAATGGTTAAATTTTGAGAGGAAAAGAAACTAATACCATGGATTTCAAGCATTGTGTTATAGTACAAATTAACTTGTGAGATATTGTTCATGTTGGTCTTTTTGATTTAACGGTTTTATTTCACTAAAAATGTCTCATAAATTTAAGGTGATGTGAATTATTATATCTCAAAATCAATTTTAATATACAATCGATGTAATATTCATGACTCTTTTTTAGGATCATGACATTATCTCTCACTCTAACGAAGACTCACATTTTTTAGTGACACATCGTTAATACCTTCAAAACCGGCTTTGATATCAAATGTTATAGTCCTCTCAAAACCAACTCTAATACACTATCGATGTGTATGTCATTCATGATTCCTCTTTAAGATCATGATATATTTTTTCACTTTAACGAAGGTCCACCGTCTTTGGTGACATATCGTTAGTACCTTCAGAGTTAGTTTTGATACCAAATATTACGGTCTACATTAACTTGTGAGGTATTATCCGTTCTGGCTCCTTTGATCTTACGATTTTGTTACACCAAAAACACTTCACAAGTTGAAAGTAGTGTGAACCCTTATATTTCAAGACTAACTCTAATATACAATTAATATGAGATTCATAGTTTCTTTCTAGGATCGTGATATCCTCTCTTACTCTAATGCCACTATCATCGATAATACATTACTAATACACTAGAATCAATTCTGATACTAAATATCACGATCCACACTAATTTGAGAGGTATTATTTGTTCTATCTTTTTAATCTCATAAATTTAAAATAATATGAATTATTATATCTAAAAATTAATTTTAATACATAATTGATGTGAAATTCATAACTCCTCGGCGAAATCATGACAAACAAACAGACAGTCATCCACAAGGGGCAAACCAGGTTCCTGACAGAGTTAAGAATAGCAGAACGTTTTGCTGGTCCATACAAGAGTGCTCCAATCAAGTCAATGCTTCCATCCAAGTGGATTCTGTGCCTCATAGTAATCTGTTTTAGTATTTCTGTCCTCTTTGACCCATCTTCTGAATTTTTGACTGTATAACAAACAAAATGACCAAACAAAGGACTGAATTTTTGTTCTCCATTCAAAACTAAAACCAAATTATCTAAATAACAGCTGGCTCACCATATGCCATAAAAAGAGAATATCTGCATCTCTCTGGTTAACAGCTTCCATGTGAGTGGCAGGGCTCAACGCATTTGGAGGAAAGCTTATAGTGGCAGGATCAAAACCTTGATATAAATAAAGTTTTTCAGCTTTAATGCTTGTATTCCCGTATTCCATCACATGCGATCCACCAAAAGGGTAAGAGTTGAAATTGGAAGTCCGTTCCCTTAACCTGCACAATGAAAATTCAAGAATACTTATACTTTAGTATTGCCAATAGGGAGTTCAGCTGACCATAAATTAAAAAAAACTCCAAAATTTGCTGAAAATTTGTTTTGCTTACTGTTTCATACTGTCGCTTTACAGTTTCTCTTTCCAGATTATGAGTTTCACTGCAGATCATAAGAGTAAAAAAGAGCTAATGAGTAAAATTCATTTGAGACGTACTAACTGAAATTAAAGACATGGTGGTAATAACAACTGCTTAAAAATGAAGATTATTATAGAATCATAACAGGAAAAGGGGCTTTTTTCTCCCAAAAAATTAGAGAAGAGAAAAATAGTCAGAATTGTGATAAAATCACATTCAACTAGCCCTTAAATGTAAGATCAAACAGCTTGTCAATTATAGCCTTTATTCAAGCTGATATGGGATCTCAAAAAAAAGTTCGAAGGAGAATAACTGCATACCTATCCTCCATCCAAGCCACTCTGTACAAATCTCCTAAACAAGTGATAAACTCAGAAGGTGGAGAAGGTTTCATCACAGGACAATATGTCCCCCAGCTACTTTCTTGCACATTCGATGCTGTTGTCATAAATATCAAGATCTTTGGGCATTATGCCTTCAAAGATACTCCCACTTTCACAAGCTTCCACATATAGAACCTGGTGGCATCAGAAATACAAATGTAACAGACCATTGAATCTATCCATGCGTAGAGCATGAGTAATTTTGAAATTAGAAGATCTGTTACCATCTCTCTGTAGCTTCCTGCAGCATGTTTCTTCTCCAAGACATCAAGAAAATCCATGGGATACAGAAATGGCATATTTGGCATCCCCAGAATCAAATTTCAAATTAGTTAGACCTTTTGGGCTTTCTTAACTTTTTTCCTGGTTACTCTTACATGCATCTTAAATCTATGTCCTCAAAGATGAACATTAAATGGAGTTAAGCAACTGCTTTAGATATTAGATAATCAACTGCAATACTACTACTAGTTTGCCAATCACAATTTATGTATTTCAGCAAAATTTGCAGAAGCTGCTCTCTTTTTTAGGCTTCTCACCAGTAATTAGGTCTTATTTGGTTGAAACAAATGGCTACACAATGAGCATAAACAATGCAGCTTAAAGAAAATTTTTAAGGTACCGAGAACTCCAGGGTCACCATGATCCGAGAAGTATATAAATATTCTGTCATTGGATTTGCTATCAACTACCTTTCTACTTCCTCCACTCACTGCACTTCTGTTACCAAGAAGTACTGCATACAAATTTGCTGCAGTAACATGTTCACCCGTATAATCCTACCATTACGATCCCATAAATTATATCAGTATGCTTATATTTGCAGTAAATTCAATTGATTAATTAAAAAAAAAAAAAACTTAAGTTCATCATTCTAACACCTTTTAACATGTATTAAAAGGTGACAAAACCTATTGGCTTGTACATAATTTTGGTTGAAGTTAAGTCTTCTTTCATTTGTTTTTTGGCAAAAGTTTACTGTTCATTCTCCAATAAAAGTAGCTTTTTTATGGAACCACTTTCGGGAGAGTGACATTTGCTCGTCATCCCCGTGTTAATAATTCTTTTTTGTGGAAGTTTGCATATTAATGAACACCCATTATAAATTTAGGTCCTAGGATTACATCCATTAATCTAATCAAAAGCATCAACAATGATACTAGGTCCACCCATTTTATCACAATCAAAGTAGCCCATCACTATCAAATTGATGTCAAATGACATAAACAGCTCACGACACCAATCATGATTAGAAAATTTTAAAACCTTAAACAGTTCGATTATACTAAACATATCAATCCATATATCTTATAGTATATGCCACACACTTTTTCTTATCTTATACAAAAATTATATGCCTGTCGATCCCTTGGAGTCTTTTTTCTTGTTTTCTATAAGAAATTTCTGCCTGTAAACGTCAAATGCTTTACTCATTTTAACTAAAGTAAACCTCAAATTAATTTCTAGACCATTCCGAACCCAAGTAATTAAACCCTAAGTCATCCTTGATAAAAAAATAAGTACTTGATGAATAAATCCAAGAACTAAAAACTAATTAAGTTGGTAGGATAGACCGAAGAGTATTCTCACTTGCCAAGTTTCATTTTTGTTGAGTGAAAGGAATGTTATTACCTTAGGCACGCCAGCATAAACATCATCGCCTTGGGGATGGTTGATGATGACTCCTGGCCTCGGATTCAACTCATGCATAGCTATGTCATCGTACATAAACACCACTATGTTCTCTTCCTTTAATCCTCCTTTCCTTAACAGCTGATAGGCGTGGCATACATCTGCCTGTAGTTGTACCCACCAAAAAAGTTTGTCTCATGTTAATTGAATAAAAGTATAAAACTAACCAGTGTTAATATAGTACTAGCTAGCACTATGTCCACCACTAAGAAAAAAGGGAAAGAAAGCAAAGAGAATTTTTAATTACTCGTAGTGCAGATTTATTTTTAAAAGAAAAAAGTAAAAGCATCTTATATGAAACGAGTCAGGCCGGTGTTTGATCTTTTCTTTCGCCGGTGTTTGATCTTTTCTTTCAGTTCATTGAAAAGAATTCAAACCTTATTATAAGGTGCAAAATGCTAAACCTGATGCCTGTAATTACCAAACCCAGCTGAACCAGCCGCAAGGACCGCCCATCTAGTTCCAAGTTGCTGATCATCTTATATCTTGCGGTTCATCTTTTTCAGTAGGCAGCTGGATTCCAGACACCCACTGATTCAGCCGGGCGGCTCGTCCAACACTTAATTCTTCAAAAAGCAACAATAGCAAGAAAAGTAAAGATGGGTTCTTGAGGAAAACTGAATTTTGTCCTCCCATGGATGTTAAATATAAATTCTGAACCGGTTCAAGAAAAGCCTGCAACAGGCCATAAGACGAGAAAAAGGAAAAGAAAATGAAATGGTTACGATTCTTGAAGGGAAAGCAGTTAAAGTGGAGATGGTAGAGCGGTGTGAGATGCCATGCAAAAGAAGAGGTTGACACGTGTGGAAATAGTTTCTGAACTGTGGGTGCTAAAATCCTCAGCTTGAAACAAGTTTGGTTTTTTTCTCTGTTTGTTTGTGAATATATGTTTACTGTTTTCTTCCGTAAGTGGTTTGGTTTTTCTTCAGGGCCTTACTTACCTTCTACTTCTTGTCAGGGAAAGGAAAACAGTTTTCTGGGACTACTTAAAGTAAGAACCTTGGAAAGGTTTGCGCTTTGGGTGGTTATGAATCTTGTTTAAAAGTTTTGTCCTACAAATTAGTATTAAACTATGATATGATTACATAAAGCATATGCTGCCTGATTTTTTTGATATTCTTCCTTGGAAAGAAGCTTTACGGATATAAAAAGGGGTAAAGTTAAGCTGGTTTGGTTTAAAGAACACAAATTTGATCATCGCAAAGCTGGAATAAATCAATCTATTAAGAGTCCTATTTAGAGTCCATTAGAGCGTATAACTGTTAATCATCAGGTCAAATGTCCTTTCCATTGTCACAGCCATTGTCAATTATCAACTGACTGTAAATCAGTAATGAGTAGTAATCCACTTTGTTTTTTCTTTAATTTTTCTATTTCACATTCATTTTTCTTTTAAGTATTGGACACAAGCCATCATTGTGTAGAAGAAACAAAAACTAGCTTTGTTCCACAGAAACATCTAGAAATGGAATCCTTGGAAGCAAATGCTTTGCTCCAGTGGCAAACCATAACTGGCTCTGTTTCATTCACTTGGAAGACAATTTATTCTTTCCAACTTGCACATGCTATGACATCTTTGTTCAAACATGATATTTTTAACAGATCCAAAGAACAGAGTTCCCGATTTGATCCCGCAATATATTAAAGAGTGATTTAAGCGTTTCAAATGGAACTGGCAAAGCCAGAGATTGAACGCGTCGAGCAAGCAATTGATCGTATGAAAGCCACACGAAAACATACACGAACAAGATTCTCAGGGGTTACGCGTTTTTACTAAATAATGAAACAACACCGTTCTACCCTTCTCTCCTCCTGTGATCTAGCTCTTAGCAACCCTCCGCATTAAATATGAACTCGTCCAGTTTCTTTTCCTGCTGGGATTTCATTTAAGCCAATTATTAATTGTTACTATTAAGGTTAAAATTTTACCTGCTTTTATTCAATCTCAAGAACAATCAAAGTCAATTCATTTAGTGACGAGCGAAGACCAACAATTACTATGAAAGTCAATTCCTGATCCCAAGCTCAAAAAATAAATCCCAGACAGCAGTTATATTCTTCTCGGTGCCAAATTGCTGATAAATTGATTTGAAAATTTCCAACTGAACCTAATCCATTCAAATTAACACAGCAAAATAAAAAATTACTGAACTGGAAAAAGAAAAAAAAAAGTCAAAATTTTCCTTCACATTTATCTGATCTGGACAATTCCAGCAGTGACCAGCTTTTGAATCTTGTTCATCACAATGGGATTCTTCATGTGCTCCTGCGCTGCCTTCGGGTTCTCCTGGAAATCAATCAACACCTGCCCACATCCCAATTCTTTTTTAGTGAACCATACAAGCAACAAAGAATCCAAACGATCAAGTTACAGGTACCGCAAAGCTGAACCAATATTTTTTCAGTACTTACCTGACCCATGACAGGATCGGAGAGAATGTTTTGAATTTCGGGATCTTGCATTGCTTTGGCCTGCAACATCACACCGATTTCAATTTAAATTTAAATTGGCATCCTAAACAGTTTTTAGAACCCATATGCAGACAAAGATATAAACGACATCCTCACCTGTCTTTCCTTCAATTCTTCAGGACTCAAATCACCTCTGCTAGCTTTGTTAATCTGTTCTACACATCTGCAAAATAATTAAGAGAAACAGGTAATTATAAGATATACTGCTGAAATAGGAACACAAAACCATAAAACCTGAAGTAGAAAGCCACTTACCTTCTAACACCATCAAGCAATTCCTGGTTATTAGGATCATGTTTCAATCCTTCCTTGTATGTTTCTAAAGCTTTGTCATACTCCTTCATGAAGAACTGAACAGCACCCTTTCTCGTGTAACCCTTAGAAAAGGTTGGATCAAGCTCAATGCACTTCTCAGCATCTTTCAGTCCCTCAGGCAAAGCACCCAATTTTGTGTAGCATGCAGCTCTATTGCTGTATGCCTGACAAGGCCAAAATGCATTTTAACGGTCAATAAGATGCTACTTTTTGTGCCTTGGTCACCAACAAACTCACAAAAACAGAATAAGACTTCTTACCTTTGGATCTTTGGGGTTTCTTCTCAATGACTCTGTATAATGCTTCACAGCCTCGGGATACTTCTGCTGCTTGAAACATTCATTCCCTGCATATATAATCTTGAAGTCAGCAGATAAACATAATAGGTGACTATATTTTTGCTCACACCAACACGCATATCACATATGGACTCAGACGATACTCAAATCAACAGGATAGCAAGATGCATAAATACCAGTGGCCAGAAACATAAACGGCCAGAAACATAAACTGCCAGAAACATAAACTAGTAAGAAAATTAAAGAACCATGAAGATGCCAGCAAAAACTAAACATAAACTAATAGAGGATACCTTTCTCACGCTCGTCATTAGCTATCTTGGGATCAAAATATTCTTGTTGCTCAAGTTCCTTCTTTGCTTTTTCAGCATCATTTAGTTTCTTCAACGTGTCTGGATTGCGATGCTCTGTAAGAGCTTTCTGGAAAGTCTCAATAGCTGGATCATAATCTTTTGAGCATTTCGCCATCTTCACCAAAGCAGTTCCCTTCCTAGTCAAAGCTTTTGCTATCATTTTAAAGTCTGATCTGAGCTCTCTACATCTTTCAACAGCCTTGTCACAATCTTTAATGCAGTCCTCATACTGCATTCAACAAGGACCATGGGCAAGAAAATGGCAGTGAAGTTAGATATACATATAACCAATTGTGAACTATAACCCCTACAGTAGGTTCTTTTCCAAGCACATAACATACTAAATCACATGATGTTGACAGAAAGATTAGGGTCCAGTAGAAATAATGGGAGCAAAAACATAATAATGATAATGAGTCCACATCTATCCAAGCCCAAAAATTTCAAACCTTCTGTAATGGTATTGATAAGAATGTAGAAAATGTGGGGAAAATCACTATTTTGGAGGAAAAAGCTAGGACTTTCTTTACCCCACCCTCATCCCAATGTCATCCTTTGAAGAAGAATGCAAAATGTGTTTGTGTGTGTGTGTGTGTGTGTGTATAAACTCATGAATACCACCATAATTAAGCAGATGGCATGCATTCTGAACACTTAGCAACACCTGACAAAACACTCACAATCATGCCATCATAAATTCATACTCAGCAATCATGCTAAGATAACATTCAAGATGAACTTTTATAAGTTCAACCACTATTAGGGTGCTAGTAAAAACTGGGATCTATCTTAGAGCTGAAGGGACCCGACAGTGAACATCATTCCAAAGTACTATGTAGTCATTAATTATTTTACACTCTAACATGCAATTAGCATGAATGTTGTGTTACTGATCTAGACCACCTACATTTAGACGTTTACAACTAAAAAGGCAAATATAAAAGTATAAAATCAACCAACAATTTCGACATTTTATAAATTTCATAGCAATAACTAAATTTCTAACTTCTAGACATATAGAAATAAATAGCCATGCCTTTCCCATTTCCAAATAAACGGCAGCCCGATTGGTGATGTATGAAATATCTTCATCATCAAGCTCCATTGCTTTCGTGTAATGCTGAATAGCTGTCTCGAAGTCCTTCCTCTTATATGCGGCATTTCCAGCCTCCTTCTCCTTTAAAGCTTTTTCCTTTTTTTCCATTTTTCCCTTCTCTTCCGTAATTTCCATCGGTTCTGGTTCAGGCATAGGCTCTGGCTTCTTCACCTCCTCCTTAGCAGGCTGTGAAGGTGGCGGAGGTGGTGGTGAATCCGCCTCTGGAACCTCCATGTCATCCCCACCACCATGTGCCTTAAACTTAACATTCAACAAAACCCCCAGAGCTTGCATAACTCTCTGATCTTTCAAATACTCATTCAACTTGCTAGGGTTTCTCTGAATCTCCTGCATCGCTTTAACAAAATCCGGATGCTGTAAATAAGCCCTAGTCGTCGGATCCGCCGTCAACTTTGCCCACATCTCCGGTCCCTTAAAAGCGTCACCAAATGGACTAGGAGGCGAAGCTGCCCTAGCTCGGGAATCCGAAGCCGTCGCCACCGATTGAGCATCAACCAAGCCAGATTTCAAGGCTTCATTATTAGGATCAATCTCAAGACCCTTTTTATAGGCTGAAATAGCGTCTTGGTATTGGTGCAATCCGAGGTGAGCCGCGCCGAGCCTGCTGTAACCTTTGGACCAGTCCGATTTAAGGTCGACGGTTCTTTTAGCGTCGGATAATGCAGCATCGTATTGATGGAGAGAAGCGTAAGCGGCGGATCTGTTAGAGTAAAGGACGTGGTTGGTCGGGGAAATGTTTATAGCTTCGGTGAAGTGTTTGATGGCGGTGTTGAAATCGCCGGAAGAAAAGGCGGCGTTACCTTTGGCTTTGGCTTCGTCGGCCATAGCAAAGAAATTTGATAGCTTTGATTTCTTTTAAGGGTGAAGAAATGGGTTTTAGGGTTCGGGAAATTGAGACAATTAATGCATGTATCAGAGAAAAGTAAGTTCGACTTCGAGGAGCAGACCAAAGAACTGTGGTGGTTCTGGAAGCCTCTTAGACATTTGTTTGGTCATGGGTTGAATTATTTCTCGAATTATCTAACCAGACGTTTGGGTATACGGTAAGAAGTTCTCAACCTATCCTATCCATGCTTCAAGTTTAAAAACCTCCACACGAGCCACGTATGTTCACAGGTGTTAATTACATTTTTCTTTTTGGGCCCCCCTTTCTACTTCCTAGTTTTTCCTGGCTGGGCTATAATGGGTCCTCCAAAGTCCAAAGGCAGCAATTTCGGGTCAGGTGATTTGCTTGGGCTTGTAGTAGTCCAAACCTTGAAGGCCCATCTTATACATCTATAATGAATTATTCTGGTCTTAGGGAACTGTGCGGGATGTCTTGAACTAAGTCTCTCCGGCCTTTTCCTGTTAATTTTATTTTGTTATTAGCTTTAGGTTATTAAATAATAAAGAATTTCTTTAAACGTTGAATTGAATTTGAACCATCAGGTCAAGTTAGAAAAACCTAATGGAGTTCAATCAATTGAAATTTCAAGTTTAAAGTTGTAAGGAATTAACAACTGGTAAACAATGATGAAGATTAAAAACTTGATGAGTCAAATGTATCTTCTGTTTAGTTGATGTTTGAACAATGTCTTCTGCTCAGATTTTGGCAAATCAACTTCAGCCTTGGATTAAACACCAAACTTTCTTGATAATCAGAGGGGTGATGATCTTCCAAGTTTTATATGATTCTTGATCTCCTCTCTCCCTTAATGTTTCGTATCTTTCATGTTTGTCAATTTATCATGAAAAAAAGGACACATGCCCATAACCACTCGCTCCCTAGGTGAGAAAAGTCCTCAGTTTCCCCAGGAGTCAGGTTGATTTGAGGAAGGTAGCTTTGGGCCTTCTGTTGTGATAAGTAGGGCCATCGGAAAACAAGGTTGAGCTTGATTCTCCAATTCGAAACGATTATTTAGAAGTATTTGTCAGTATGTTTACAATCACTTTGGGAACAGACTTGCACGTAATTTTTTTCCCAGTTGTCTTTATCAGCTGAAGGCACGTGTTGCATGAAAATGGAAAATTGTAAAAATTTCCAGACAGGTTAGATGATATGAAACTCATGACAAACCACATTACTACGATGAACTCCCTGCCCTGTACTAGCTTGTGATATTGAAAATTATCTGGGCTTGTCAATATCTACTGAACACTTTGTGTTCAAAATCTAACCAATGCAGAAGCTGAACAACTGGCAATAATTGCATGCGACAAGGAGTACTCCAAATCCTGAAAATACTAGCTCGAGCGAGGAAAGAATCACCAAATTGGCAACTTCTTTAAGCAACAACAGAACAAATAACAACTACTCAAAACCTGAATATTGACAGCAAACACGAGGAAAAAAAATGACATCATTTGCCTTTGTCCATTTATTGTTTGCACAACATTTTTTACATATGATAGCTAAACAACCTTAAATAAATTTACAAACTTTCCATATTGCAGGCCCTGCGAATCTAACTTAAACATTCAAACATCAAATTACTTAAGGAATTATCAATCCAAAAGCAAAAGCAATTCAGGAAAAAAAAAATCTGAAAACTATGATTACTAACCAGGCATACAATTGCATATGAAACGAATTGTGCATATGTTTCATGTGACAGGTTAACTTTTGGTGCCAGCATAGCGGTTGACAAGAGCCAAGGCAATGCTTGTCAAGCTTTCAACTTTCTCAATTACACTCCCCACAGTGGCTTTGACATCTCCATCCGTGGCACTCTCAGAGAAGCCGTCCATGCAGGTATCTTCGTTCGTCAAAGCAGCACTCACCCATGTTTGTATATCACTCATTCGCAAAGCAAAGCTTTTGCCTTGAGTCTCATCGATTTCACCAATGGACATTTTGACTTCATCAACCGAATCACTTATTTCTTCCATACAATCCTTAAGAGCTGCAGCCTCTCTAGGCTTTAGGCCCTGGCCTTTGGAGAGCTCCTTAAGGATTTTCGAAGCAGAACGCGTGGCGTTAAGTGTCAAGGAGAGTGACTTGCTGGCTAATATTTTGGGACTGGCATGGATTTCACTTGCATAGCTAGAAAAGGTGGTGAAACACAAGTCAGGGTAAGATGTGGCACCACATGAAGTTTTGATGAACTCTGTATATATTTCAGAGATGAGAATTTTTCTAGCTGCTAAGCAATAGTTTAGGTGAGTTGTAAACAGGATGAGGATGAGAATAGCTGCCATTGAAAAGTATGAAGTTGCCATTTTTCTTTCTCTCTCTCTTTCTGGAGAAAAGCTTGAGAGAATGATAAATTAAGGAGAAGAGAGGGATCTTAATTTATAGAAAAAGTTCATAACTGTGGTTCCCACACATAAAAAGCTTGAGAAAGGAAATTAAGCTACCAAATGAAGCCAATAATTTCAAGTTAAAATCTTCCTGTGACAAAGGCTATGTAGACTTTGATCCTCCATCACACAAGAAAAGGGCTGGAATTTGGCTGATTGATCATCAGCTTGATGAAAACAGCATTTGAACCACTAATCATGCTGCTGGTTTAACTTATCAATTAAAGTATACTTTAACAAAATTGTGTCCTGAGAAAGATAAGATATTTTATCCCCACGGACCCTCACCTGTAGATTGAGGTACTTTGGCTATGGATTCTCATGGCCGATTGTCATGAAAATGTATAGTAAACCTGCAAAACTTTGTTTTTGCAACACGAAAGAAAGCATAAATTATTAAAATAATAAAAATACTGGTAATATTTAAAAGAACAATGATATCACACCAAATTATAAACACAATCCAAATTAAAACTACATATAATTAGATAAACAAAATAATCAATTTTAAAAATTGATTAGCATAATAATCTTTTCCCTTTCCAAGAAAATCAAGAACGAAAGACCCCAAAGTAATTAAAAGACAAAAACAAAGCTGGTAGTTAATTTTTTTTTTTTGAAGTTACACTTATAATTAAGTAGTATTACAACTATTTAATTGAGTAAATAATTAATTATTATATCATAATACACAATATAAGGATATATACTTAAATGGTGCGCAAGCACATGGCAGCAGAAATTATTTTGAAGGCTCATTATTAAGGAATGTAAAGCATATGACAAAATGAATAACCCAAAGTGACCATAATTTTAAATTAATGTTAGTTTTCAATGAGCTAATAATTGACCTCACCAAAAAAAATCTCTCTTATGGACCTATTACAACTAATTAACAAGCAAATTAAGATATCAACCATAATTTTTTTATTAACAAATCACATAATTGTTCGTACATCACTATTAATTTTGATTGAATCAATTTTTTTTTTTTTATCATCAAGGATCATTTATGTCCAAAAAGGAATATCAAAGCCTGTATCTAATCCAAAAAAAAAAAATATTAACCAATAAATATTACATGAATATGATTAATTAACAGCATCAAGTGAACCACTAATGATGCTGACAAAATTCAATAATTAAAATAGGTCAAAAAATTGTTAGTCACTAGATAAAAAAATTTAAGTGCCCTAAAATTGTCTATAGAGAAGGAATTTCTTTGTCATGACCAAGGCATATATTCTATCCTATCATGGACCCTCGCCTGGAAATTTAAAGAGTATTTGTCAATTAATTTATTCATTATTCAAGAGAAAACGTGCAAGACTTTGGTTGGTAATTGGCAATTTAAAAAATGTAAGTATTAATTTAGAGAAAATTTAACAATCAAAGATAATAATGACAATTTATGATAATTGCGATGACTATTGTTGTAAAATTATAGGTCAAGGTCGTACCAATTAAAATACTCAGCACCACTACACTCTAGAGCCTTAAAGAACCACATTTTTTGTGAATAATTAAATTTTAAATCTTATTAATCTTTGAGGAAAGTAGAAAAAAATGTAAATCATCCCATTGTAACAACAATGAACATTTTGGCTTACGATTTAAAGTGTGAAGCTGAAGCCCCTTATAAACAATGTTTATTGTAATAAAGATTCCTATATAATTTATTAAAAAATACATTTTAAAAAATATAAAAAAAGTTAGAGGTTTTTGGCGTTTTTCATCGACAATTCAATGGGAAAAAGCTGGATATGTGCTCATTGACTGCTTTATGATTAATTGAAAAATACATTTTAAAATCAATCAATGACAGTTAGATAATGAAAGTATAAGATCTTTCACACCAAAACAAAATCTCGACACAGCTGATCACTCTTATACTAATTCATACACTTAAGAATAACAATTAAGAGAACAACGAAAGAAAACTGATGGTCATGGACTATAATGCTGTGTTCACCCACATCTGAATATCGTTCATTTGAAGCTGAAGAGCAGAGCCTTCGGCACGGTCCATCTCCTTTGTTGACTTTTGCAACTTCTGCTCCGAATCACTTATATCTGCAATACAATCTATCATGGCTGCAGCTTCATTAGGTCTCAATCCATGGATTCTTGACATATCTTTTAGCAACATTGAAGTCGGCTTTGGCAGGGAAAAAGGTCGTGTTGAGAGCTACACATGAGCTAATAGCTTGGGGTTGCCTTTGATTTTGCTTGCATGGTGTGCTAGAGATTTATAGCAAAACTCGGGGTCGGCTTTGTTGTGCTGATAGCTACGAGATTTTCTAGAGGCTGAGCATGTGTTAAAAATTGGAGGAAAATTGCAGAAGAAGAAGCAGAATTATTAATGCATGGATTCAAATTTTTCTTGCCATCTCTCTAGATTTTATGTATTTGTTGTGTAGTCAAATGAATTTGGGGACCCAATTTATAGAAAATCCTTCCACCCTCAAATCTCAGAAATTGTGTTTCCTTATGGGGAAGGCCGGTTTCATAATAAAGATGACATGATAGCACTAATGATTCCAGAAATCTAAATTTTATGCCTCTGCGTTGTCTATCCAACCCTAATTTAAGCTCTGTTCATGGAAGAGTTAATATGTATTTATTTGCATATCAACTGCCACAAAAAGATTTAGAACCCTTTTTCTTACTTTTACAGACAAATAATATTAATTGAATTCTATTTTCTATCATGTTACATGCGCAAAATGTAATGCATATGGAATCAAATCTTTAATTTAATTAGTTTATACATTCACAACATCCAGTAGATATAGAATTCAAATCTTAACATCTGTAATTTTTTTATCCTTGGATTGTGATCTTTTTGTTAAAAATAAAAAAATGCAATGCATGTGTCCCATTGTCTAGTGTTCTTTCATTATATCCCAACAAGCACAACTTGCTCCTCATCCCTACAGTCTCAAATTGACAATGGAAGGTAGAAGATAATTTATCATTTGTTTAAATGTATCAGATAACTGTTAGTACTAGATGTTGCTGGTTGATTTTGATTTAGCTCTGCCCAGATCAAAATATTTCTACTCTTTAGCCTTCATTTTGCCCAGATAATTCAAGTATCCCAAAAAATTATACCAGTAGTGATGATTTTGTGTTCTGTTTAGGCAGAGCATATTGAGACTGAGACTGCTCTCTTCCCTAAGGCTGCACTTTGGTTATACGAAGAGAAACTCGATCAAATTTAAATTATAAAAAGATAATTCGTCGGTTGGCCTTAAGAGCATGAGAATCCATGTCTCCACATGTCCCTGTCTAGCTTTTGTCTCCTGACTGTACCCGCAATATGATATTTCATGAGAGCGCAAAAATATCTAGTGCTGGTATAAATTTTGAATCAACTATCAGGCTGAGTGATAAAACATGCTTAAATTTGATTAATCCTCGCGATTTATCAGTTAGGCTTTGTTTGGATAGTCATGGCTTTGGGGTGTAATTTTGGATAAAAATTCTATATTTGAGTTGAAAAGTTTTGAACTTCGTATTAAAAAAACCAGATGATCCCCAAAGAACAATTTCCATGTGGAATGTAACTGCAACCAAATCAACATCCAACACGTGTACTGAATTTTTTAATTCTAAAGATTAGGTTCAAATCCTAATAATTTCAAATATTAAAAAAAAAAAACCTTAATTTACAATAGTGTAGTAGATTTCCACAGCAGTTCACAGACTAAAATTTCATATTCACTTGATACAGTACAGAAATCAAGAAACAAACAATTACAGCTCACAACACAATCTGCAATCTCCTGCTATCTTACCACTCTATCAGCTTATGCTTCTAAACTTACTTTGGGACAAAATTTTCACGGTGCGCTGTTTGAAAAGCAGACAATTCCCAAAGCAAACTGAACATGAAGCCCAAGATAAATCATGTACTTATTAATCTTCACTGTTTTACTATAAAAATTCCAAATAAGGAGAAAGAAAGCAAGGGCTTCCTTGAGTGTCTTCTGTTTAAAATTTTCAGGAGAAATTAAGGTAAGTTACTCTGAGAAGAGGCATAGTTATTGATGAGAGCCAGGGAATTGCTTGTCAGATGTGCAATTTTAACAATACGTTTTCTTACCATAGTCTTTGCATATCCATTCATGGCCCTGCCTGCGAATCCATCCATGCAAGTATCTTCATTTGTCAGCGCTGCACTAACCCAGGTCTGAATATCACTCATTGTAAGGGAAAAGTTTGAGCGTCTAATGTGATCAAGTTCCCCTATAGACTGTTGCAGCTCATCGACAGAGTCTCCAATTACCTCAATGCAATCTGCCATGGCTGCCGCTACCCTAGGCCTCGAACCATGGATTCGTGATATCTTCATCATCAATCTTGAAGTTGATTTGCTGGCTATGAGGGTTACATTGAGGGCAGTGTGGACTAACAATCTGGGGCTGGTGTTAATTTTGCTTGCATAGATTGAGAGGGATCGGTAGCACAATTTGGGATAAGTTGTGGTGCTGCATGAAGATTTGATGTACTCAATGTTTCTTTGGTTGTGAAATGGTGCATCAGCTAAGATTAAGGCCATGTCGTTAGTGAATTGAAGGATAATGAGCAGGATTGCCAGTCCATGGCGTAAAGATGAACCTTCCATTTCTCTCTCTTTTCTCAGGGTTGGTAGGAAAGTTAAAGAGTAAAAATTTATGATTTTAGATAGGGAAAAGAATGGCTGATTTATAGAAAACCTTAAGGTTTGTGGTTCCCACAAATGAGGAAGGAAAAGCCTGATTTTGAGGGGAAATAAAACTATCATGTGTAAGAAAGCATAGGCAAGAAAAGATGCTGATAAAACAATCAATATAGGCAGACAAAATCAAAGCTATATTAGTGTCCAATTGTAATTATAATCTTAACAGCTATGCCAAAAGTGTAGAGAGTGATTAAGTTGTCTAAGAAGTAAGAATTGGTCTTCTTCAATCCTAGGTTCAAAGACCCCTGTTCGAGAGAGAAGAGAACAATCCTGCATAAGGGAAATCAATGGATTGGGTGAACTTTTAGGGTCAAATTATGAAATTAGTCTATATTTCAGGTTTTGAAATTTCAGTCCAAATTCTATCAGAATTATGAACTAATTTCATAATTTGACCAACTTTCAGATTTGTGTTAATTTTCAAAGTGTTGTCAATGATCTTTATCTAACTCTTCTCAGATATTACTTTCTGAGTTTTGACTTCATCACCGCGGAGAGTAGAGGAAAAATGGAAGTTTGAAATATTTGAACACTTGAACTACCATTCTGAACATTTGGTCTAAAATTTCCAAGTTGTTAGGTAAAGATAAAGCAAATATGTGGCTGCCAGTAAAGCAACAAATTATGCAAAAAGTACACATGGTTAAAAACTGATTTGATCAAGCTTGTCACTCATCCTAAAAACCCATGTCATAGCATCACCTCTAAATTAGGTGGGAGTTTGTTTCTAACGGCATCCTCCGTACCGTCAATCAAAATCGCAAACTAGAGATAAGCTAGGAAAAGAATCAATCCAGGAGATAAAGCCGTCCCCAGAAGGTCACTACCAAGCATTTTAAACGTAAAATCCAAGAAAAAGACGAACATTACGTCAGGATGCTTTTTTTTATTATTAAATCAGGCAGAAAAAAAACGAGCATGTAATTGACTGAGAAGTAGACTGAGATGCCAATTGTCATATAACCTTTTCTTGTTCTATCATTTTCTGAGTTCATGGAATTAATAGGCTTAACTAATGTGATTCAGGTGCTATCTGAGGAAATGAAGTTGGATGCAGCCGAATGAGGCAAATGATTTGGAAGACATTAATTTTAGTGATTTGATTTGTTATAGCTTCTCTGTTTCGATAGGTCTTAATAGCTCTTTCTAAGAGAAAAATTGCTAAACAATTTCAATTATTTTGGATGTAAAATCTGCTCATGTATATTTCCAAAAGCAGCTGGCTTGATCACAAAAACTTTAGAGATTCCACGACTACATTTCATTCACACTTCACTTTAAAAACAAAAAATTAAAGGGGGATTTCTGTCAGCTTTGCCCAAGATGTTTAATGCTAGGAGGAGGTCTCCGAATTCATGGTTAAATATCAACAGCAGAGCTAATGAATTTGAAATGCTCCCAAACCCTATTGCATGTCTAAATAATTGTAATTGTGGGAACGGTTTTTATAATACTTTGAACCCCATCTGGCCATATCTTTGAAGCTTTGAAGTTTATCATGTTCCCAAAGAAGCGACTTCAATCGTCTGAAACCCGAAAAATATAGTTAGTACGATAACAAGATGAAGAAGTTATATATATTGGCAATCTCAAAGTCTTTTTATTAAAAAAAAAAAAAAAGAAAGAAAAGAAATCTCATAAATTCAAGACTTGTTAATGGCTAAAATGTCAGAATTTTTTTGGATACATAAATCAGAATTGAATTTAGCAGGTTAATGAATAAAATATGTAAATTCATGCATGGGAAAGGAGTCAGTTAAATTAAGGAGATATCCATATCCAACCCAAACCTTAGTGTCTTGTCAAAACAAGACGCAAAGCCAACCAGATGATTCGACAACTGAAATTTTCGCAAAAGATTGATAATGCTTGGGTCGAAGGCCTGGGATTTTTCTAGAACCTACTGGCCAGGTAGAAAGCGTTTCAAAGTAAGCTTAGCTGAAGCATGAGGCCCCATACTGACGTGTTTTCCATGCATTGAAAGAAAAAGACTGACAGAATAATAATAAAAGTCAAAATAAGTTGCATGATTAGTCATTTAATTTTAATTTATTCTTTATTTTAATTATCTAATTGTAAATAATAACTATTTAACCTTCCATGTTTCTGTAATTCTTTTTAATCCCACCGCTGGAAAGTAACAAAATATATATTGACGTGAGTTGTCGTGTAAGATTGAACAGCTGATTTCTTCGTTTTCTTAAAGGTTGAACTCTTAAATAATTAAAGTTTAATTCTTGAGAGTCTCAAAAAAAAAAAAAAAAAAACCCTAGGGTCACTTGATAAGTCCATGTGGTCTGATCATCAGTCCCTGTCTATTCCATTTACTTTTTCTTTGCAGTTGAATCCCTCACATGGTCGCACGTCACTTTGTAGGGACATGTAATCTCCATCCCTTTCATGAATTTCTTTTTTAATTTTTTTATTCTTAGTAGTATTGTTTTTTGGATCAGAGTAAAAAATTTTCCTTTTAACAGCGGTGAAATGGTTGTTTCATTTCAGAAATGTAGATTTTTCTTTTCCCTTTTTCATCATTTTGGAGGTGAATTCAGAATAAATGAAACATGGTGACACAAATTGTTTTCACCATAATCCTGAATCCCCATGATTTTCCCCCATGTGGTCTCCATTCTTTGAACAGAAATAAACACTCGAACATTTCTAATTTTTTTTTCGTGATTCAAAGACTGAGCTTTCATGGTATGTCTAACTGCGTATGTTGATGAATCAATATATAAGAAGAGATAAGCTCGTAGTTTGTATCAGAGATTTAAATTATGATAATTGTTACATTTTTGATTATATCGTATTTGTCATAATTATGGATATAACGAAAATTTGTGTTATTATAATTATTGTGATTGTGAAATTTTTTTAATTTTGTTGAAGTTATTATAAAATATAATAATTTTAATTATTAATTATAAAAATTTTTATTTTATAATTTTTAAAGTAATTTATATCATGTTATGTGTTTTATTTATTTAAAAAAAAATTTATAATAAAATATTCATATTTAAAAAATTATTCATATGATAATTAAAAAATAACAAGAGATAAATAAATATATAAAAAATAAATAATCATAACGAATAATATATTTAATTATTTAATTACTTTACTTATCAAATTATTATTGAATTATATTATGCATAAATTAGCTAACAAGTAATTAGACATCCATAAATTATACAAGAACATTGTTATTTATGGGCCACGAGAATTACTTTTTATGAGCCTATAATAAATCAAACTTGACACCCTAAGGACAATCTTTAACAATAATAGCATCAAATCTACTTTCTCTGTCTCTTGATTAAATTGCATAGACCCACACAACTCTTCATCCTCTTACCTTGTATTCAATAATTATTTTCTTTAGATCTTTATCCTCATCTCCATCTCTCAGCTTTTTTTTTTTTCTGATATGTGCTAATTGCTCATCTCCCTCAAACTCAAGTCTTACTCTCATCTTTTATCTCTCATTTTGAGTCCCAACAACTCATGTCTCCTTCTAGCAATGCACTATAGTCCAATCCAATTGCAAACACACAAAATCACAGTAAATAAAAAAATTTTTTAAAAAAAGTAATTTGAAGTGCTGAATTAATTACTTATCTTAAACTACATATACTTAATCTTGATTGAAGTTGAATTTGAAAGAATTAATATTTCTGAAGTTTAAGTTTTGTGAGTTTTTTTTCTCTAAATTTGTGAATTGATGTTTATTTTTTGACTTATTATTTTGTTTTAAATTTTTTAATTAGAGTTAAATAAAAAAAAAATTTCTTAAATTTTTAAATAAAAAATAAAGTAACGGATAATAATAAACCATTATTACTACTATTTAATGTTACGTCACAATTATGATTGCAAAATACTATTACAAATAAGATTCTAATTTTTCTTTATTTTTTTTTAATAATAATGATAAATGATGATGTTATCGCAAAATATAGACTATTATATCATTATTCAATGTTATTTAAATCTTTGGCTTGTACGCTACACTCAATTAAGAAAGAGATAAGCTTTAAAAAATTAGGCTGTTTTGCAACTTTCCATGTTGAAGATTGGCGTTGATTTTCATGGTTCGCATGAAAAAAAAAAGAAAAGGATTTGCATTAATAACATGCAAAATAAAGCACAATGGGATTATGCCGCCGCCGTTAAAGGTCGTCTAGATGACTCAAGACTGTCTCCTGCTTTTCCTCCTGCTTAACCATAAAGTTAGGTTCTGGTCGTTTAAAGAGATTTCCAACCATACAATGAAGAAAAAAGTGTATCATGACAGGCCAATTTATCTGTATATTATATTGGATAGGAATCCAACTGATCAAATGGATTTGTTCGTAAATGTTTTAATCATCTATTGGCGTATAAAATGATAATTCTAAATGAAAATGGATTAAAAAATATGTACTTAAAACTTAGGAGTAGATTTTGTCAAAAAGACAAGCTTCTCTGGTTTTCTAACTTCTGCCGGGGTCCCATCATAATGCGTCTGTTTTGTTTCTTTCACATGAAAATGACTTCGTTGTTTTTTCCCTGTTTTGTTGTCCTATGGGGTTGGGTTTATAGCATTGCTCTTACTAGCTAGGCTCAATCCGTTCCTGATTTGGACCTTGCAGCATAACTTTGCTTTGGACCTTTACATTGAAAAGATCATTTTTGCAGGGTTCAGATTTATGGAAGGTTACAGTTTCTAATTAGGTGAAAAAAAGCTAAAAGATATTTAATTCATAAAAGAAAAGAAAAGAGTTCATTCACGCTTAATTCATTATACATAATAGAAAACTTTAATATCATACAAGGCAAGGAAGATTTTTTTTTTTTTTTAGCTTAGATTTGGACTCGCCATATGATATTGTTACGTACAATCCATTTATGCATAAACCAGATGACTCACCAGGTTGAATCTAAGGTTTCTCAGTAGATGCAGCAGCAGCAGCTCGGTGCCTGGCCGCAAAGCGATTCACTAATGCAAGCGCATTGCTGGTAACTTTAGCAACATTGATGACCCTGCGCCTTATTGCAGCCTTAATGTTTCCATCCATGACGCTGCCTGCGAAGCCATCAAGGCAAGTATTCTGATCTGTTAGTGAAGCACTGATCCATGTCTGCACGTTGCTCATGTGCCACATGAAGTCCTGACCAACTGCTCGTCCCATTTGGCCGAATTCCTTGACTGACCGGCTAAGTCGGTCTACACTATCTCCCATGTTTTCTGTACAGTCTTTCACAGCTTCACGCTCTCTAGGCTTGATGCCCCTCACTTGGGTCATCTTGGCAACAAAAGCTGCAGCTGATTGAGCCCTGGATAAGCTGACTGATAAGGCAGTTTGAGCAAGGTGTTGCTCATTTTGTCGAATCAAACTAGCATAACCTGACAAGCATTCAACGCATACTGCAGGATACCTTGTGGCTTTGCACGATGCCACGATGTAGTCTGTTGTGCTTGAATTGCTAGTAGAAGCAGATGCAGCAACGCCAGCCCCGTAAAGGGCAAAGGAGAAAACTAGTACGAAAAAGCCTAGTCTTGCCATGTCTTTGAAGGGGAAGAGGTAGCTGAAATGGATGATGATTAAATAAATAGAGTATGGGATTTTATTTATAGAGAATCAAAAAGGTTGTTTCCTATTCTTCTTTTTGGATTAAATAAAATGTTGTCACATGCCTCCTTTCTCCTTTCAACTGCTAATCTTCTCTTTTTGCGGTGATTGCTTATTCCATTTTCATTCTGTTAGGTAACAAGGCATATTTTGGTCAAATCCTCTTTTCTTTTGCTTTGAAAAGCACACTACAATTTGAATAGGTTTGGGACAAAAGCACAATAGCAGGAGATTTGGTAATCAAGCATAGATGAGGATTGAAATGTACTAGTCAATGTTTTAATGATCTAACATACAAGGAAAAGAAGCCCATTGATTAGAATAAAACAAAGGAAAACAAATTTGGAAAATTTTGATCAAGCAAATACCATAAACTAATACCATATAGAACATTCAAAGAAATCTACACCGAACCACAATGAGCCATCGGTGTAAATTGAGGGGCAGGAAGATTAATACTCCACAAATACAGATCATTGCTTGGAGCTTGTGTCAAGCCAAGCGCTCCAAAAAGAGTAGACAAGGTACTCTAATCCCACATCAGACATAAAAGTAAGGTTACTGGGTATAAAAGGGTTTACACCATCTCTTTCTTGTAAAACACTTTTTGTAAGAAAAAACCGTGAGGTCAGAGGGGCCAAAACGGATAATACCTCACAAAGTTGTGAACCGTGATAAATAAGTTGATCTGAGACACCGGATGATTGTATGCCCGGGTCCTGAAGCCGCACGAGCCTGGAATTTAAGTTTCGGCACGTGACAAGTGGTATCAAAGTTAACCCTAAACCGTTCGACCCACGTCAAGCGCCTCAAGGGAGGCAGGTAGGGTGGCTAGTTTCCATGACGAGGACGTCATGAGATTGGGTAGGGGAGAATGTCATGCCAAACACTCCAAAGGGAGTAGGCAGGGTACTCCAATCCCACATCAGACATAAAAGGAAGGTCATTGGGTATAAAAGGGTTCACACCACATTTTTCTTGTGAGGCATCTTTTATAAGATAAAACTGTGAGGCCAAAGGGGCCAGAGCGAACAATACCTCACAAGAGTATGAATCATGGTAGGTAGGCTGATCTAAGATGCCGGATGAGTGCATGCCCGGATCTTAGAGCTGCACAAGCCTGGAGCTTAAGTCTTGGCACGTGATACTTGCACCTACTACAACGCTAAGCATGTTATTGCACAAGCTGATAAATTGATGGCTCTAGATGACTTTAGATGATGATAATGATACTGGGGTTTCACCTCTTGTTTTTCTAAGTCTAACTAGCAAGATTTCAAGTTCACTCCAAAGTGACCCACATAAACGTGCATATAAATCACCTAATGACAGCAACTAGCTAATACATTTTTGCAACCACTGTGCAGTTTGCCATGACTTTTCATTTTCATGTGCCATGCTATAATGTGAAGATATTTATTGGTTTATTATTTGCAAATCCCAAATAACTCTCTGATTTAAATCATAATCAATTCATTTGACATAGCATCTTCAAGTAATTTTAGCATGGTTTAACAAATCAAATACTAGCATTCCTCTATTTTCTAATTTAATGTTACAATAATTTTCTAAATGTGCTGTCATTTTAATGATGAATCAATCTTCTGGTGTTGTTTAACAATAAAATCATTGTATAAACTCTAATCAAAACCATGACTTTGTACATATAAAGTACTGCAGTGATCTTAGTACAACACATTGATCTATGTAAATGCGGAGCAGTACAATAAAGGCTAAAACCATACTCACCAAGAATCAATCAAAAAAGACACAGTACTTATTACCAACATTTAGAAATGTGTATACTATACCATCAAATATTTGAGAACAGCTGCACGAACCTTTTCCATGAAAGCCACTGCTTGTTTCTGCACGTTTAAAATAAACGATTGACCTAAATTATAGGAGTTCAGTCTGAGTTGGAAGCAGTTTACTGGCATGGTAATAGAGTTCAAATAGATGGTGAAAATATATATTTTAAAGTTTTCACAGTTGCTAAGAGTTCACACCAAATCAGCAGAAGATATCAACTGAAAACATATTGGATGATAGTCAAGAGACAAATGGATACAAAATAACAGACATATAGAGAAAACAAAAAGGGATGATTGCATGAATGTTTTGATATGAACAACTCTGGTCTATGTCATTGGTTATTCTTCGAACAAATAACTACAAGTGCTTATCTTAATTCAGAGATTAGGTTTTTGAGAAAACTCAAAGAAATATCAGTTCAGACATTTTATAGAGGTCATAAAGAAGGGATACTATACCCTTATTATGGAATAAAGATACAAAGGAAGACAAAAGCACTAATTTTCTTTTCTTAAGACAAATGCTGATCCAAGAATAAAACTGAGTGAAGACGAGCCAGAATGTGACATATAGACAAATGGATACAAAATAACAGACATATAGAGAAAACAAAAAGGGATGATTGCATGAATGTTTTGATATGAACAACTCTGGTCTATGTCATTGGTTATTCTTCGAACAAATAACTACAAGTGCTTATCTTAATTCAGAGATTAGGTTTTTGAGAAAACTCAAAGAAATATCAGTTCAGACATTTTATAGAGGTCATAAAGAAGGGATACTATACCCTTATTATGGAATAAAGATACAAAGGAAGACAAAAGCACTAATTTTCTTTTCTTAAGACAAATGCTGATCCAAGAATAAAACTGAGTGAAGACGAGCCAGAATGTGACATATAAAAATAATGGAAAAAATAAAAAGGAGAGATAAAAAAAAATGATTGGCAACTATAGCAAGTTATAAGGTCCTATCGCAACTAAAAGAGAGATTGTTTTGTTGTAATTCATGGATATGAAAGCAGAGTGTTTTCACACATTTCACCAACAGGGAAGTAAATATGAATTGTATAGCCTTCAACTATTATATGGATGCCATATCAGCCTCTTTGTATTCTAATTCACAATCTTAAACAGTCAACAACTGTTATAGTAACTGTTAAAGCACACCAATGATGACAAAAATAAAGCTCCAAAATGAAAAAAAAGTGTTACGGAAAATAATTTAATAGACAGTTGAGATTGAGCAAAATCATTAACTTGAGCAGTCAAGGATGGATGAATTTCCATGAGCTACGTACCACATGAAAGCCAAACTCTGGTAGATGAACTAAAAATTGGAAATAGTATCATATCAACTAGAGAGTAGCATGACAGCTTGACAACTGGTTTTCTCTTTCTTTTATTTCCTTCCTAGAATTAGCTTAAGGGTGAAAATTTAAAGAGTAAATCATTTAATTATTCCTCTGCTTTGCATTCTATACTCTCTGCCACAGATTTCCTATGGTGGTCAGGTGGCTGATGGTACATTACAATATTTGAAAGACCTAAACTTTTGTACTTTAATACTATATATGCATGAATGCAGGTAAGTACATATTCTTGACTCTTAAGGACAATGCTCACCTGGTTACCCATGTGTGCGTTTGCTATGTTTTCATCAAGAAGTGTCAATAACGATCTATTTAGTTCATTGCGTTCAACCATCTCCAACAACCGTATGGAAACACAAAAATTCAGCTGACATGCATAAAATTAGAAATATAAAAGGGACTCAATGAGTGGGTAGACAGGCACATACAGTTGCTTTTATATCCTTTGATGTCAAAATGTTGGTGAGGCTTTTCTTTGCAGCTATAAGGTCAGCTTGCATTTTATCATATGCTTCTGTGATGGGAGGACCAAGGATCACTAGTAAAAAGAAGTAAGACATTAACTCTTTGACCATAAATTGTATGGCTGAAAAACATACCTGTGCCTTCTTGTAAGGCCTTCTGCAATGCCTCCAGCTCAATCAGTCTATCCTCCATATCCTGCACAATTTACCAGCTTTTTAGATTTCCAATTCTCTGAGGGTAGCTGAGCAGAGGATTATCACAAACATAAGAATCTTTTAGAACAAACCTCGGTTTTTGAAACAGCAAACCGAATCTGCCCTATCTCAAATTTGAGGTGGGAAAAAAATTCCTCATCCAATCTACCTAGTTTGCAAACAAAGGTGGCGTTCTTGAAGTGGAAGTTTAAAGTGCATTCCAATAATTAAGAAAAGTAAAAGGCAATGAAGTGAAGAAAACCCAAAACAGCATTCAACAAAGAAAGCCTAAAAAATTGAACTTCTCAACAAAATTCAAGCTGTTAACACATCTGAACATCGGAAGAAGCAAAATGGGAAGCAACAAACATGCAATTTCAAGAAACAAAGATTTCACAACTTTTTAAAAACAAACTGAAAGTACAAACCGCTGCCTTAATCTTGCAATCTTAAACTCAATCTCCTGAGCTTCAGTGTCAAGAAAGTACTCAATCAACTCCCCTGGAGTATCGGGTATTTCCCTGGAGTAATAATGAAACCACAACAAATAAATAAAATAAAAATAAACCCCCAAAAAGAAAGAAAGAATAAACAGTCGTATTCCATAAGGAACACGTTATTATACTTGGCGAAGAGCTCGGCGTCGCTCTTTTTCTTCGCGTAAACGTTGCTCGAATGCTTCTCAAGCCTCTGCATCCCTCTCTATCCGTCTTTTAAACTCGAGCCGAGCCAGGTGCCCTGTCTGCGGCGGTCCAAATATACCTTCCGGGTCCTTCCTTCGATTAAAAAAATTATTTCAATCCAAAAACTTCAATTCGATTTATCAAACCATCATAAAAATAACTCAAACCCATAAATTTTTATTTAGTTTTGCACCCATTGGACGCAGCAGATTTTGAGTCTGAACTGGGTTCGTTTTAATGTAGCCGATCAATAGGCGGCGGTGAATGTGGCGATGCGGATTGACAGAGTGGCCATTATTACTGGCCCTTCCGTAGAAGCTTTTTTCAGCTTCTGGGTTTTGCTGGGTTCTTTGAAGGGTGTGTCGATGGCGTCTTATCCGTTAAGAGCTTTCGCCGTCGATTTGTTGGGTAGCGGCGGGGGCATACTGGCCGTTGGATGAGATGGATTTGCAAACTCTCGTCTGCACCGTTCGAAAAGGAGCGTTACCTTTTGGGCTCCGTTGCTCCAGGTAGAGCAGCGTTGCGTTTTGTGTTTGTGGGCTTGGCTATACTATACCCAACCCCATATATAATTAATCAACAAAAAAAATCACATAAAAAATGAAAATTATTATACATACATTGGACATGTAAAAATTTTTATAAACCTGGTTTGTAGATTATTAAATTATTAATAAAAGATGTCTTCCGATCATAGTAAAATGGTAGGTAACCACCAACTATGATAACTAATTATTAATTAAATTCGTTTTTACATAATAACAATAAAATTTTTTTATTTTAAATGGAAGGAAAACTTAGCCTATTCCAATATCATGGGCTTTTGATCCACAAACTTTTTCATGTTGAGCTTCGTCTATGACCCCAACAGCGCCTTTTATCCTTTCAAACCACTTACTTTTACCAGACCCAAAGAAGAAAAGCTATGGATTATTGTGAAGTTATTTTTTTTATTTTTAATCTATTGTTAAAATTTTTGTTTTATTATTTATTTAATTAAAAAAATATTTCATATATAAAATTTTTTTTGAACGTCTAACATTTAAATATCAACTCTAAATGATATACCAAATCCAAATAATAGACGGCATTTACGAGTTAAAATGTTCTTAAACGAAATTTTGAAGCTATGGATTAAGATTAAATAATCAAAGTATCCGAGGATTTATTTATTTGTGGCCATAGGCATTTTATGACCTAAAAAGAATAATCAACACAAACCGACCAAGCATTGTATGACCTAACAATTTTTTCTAATTCAAGGCAAATCTGATCCCTATATCCCATCGAAGAAGGTACTAGAAGAACCGCGTCAGACACTCTCCCTCTGCTTTTTTCTCTTAAAAGGGTCAGAGATAAACCCCAAGTCTCAAAATCCCATACCCACTCAAAGAAAAATCCGACAATGGATGCGGCGAAATTGAACGAGCTGAAGAAGTTCATCGATCAGTGCAAATCCAATCCTTCCATTCTCTCCGACCCTTCCCTCTCCTTCTTCCGCGACTATCTCGAAAGGTAATTTCAATTATTCAATTACTCCTGCTCTGCTCTTTCTCTATTTCTCACTTTCCGTTTTACTCGCTAGTAGTAATAATAGTAAAACGGCATCGTTTTTTCAGTCTCGGAGCAAAGCTCCCGTCCTCCGCTTACGGCCATGGAGCCAGCGACTCCAAATCGGTAACCGTTTCAACACTAATTAACTCTCACATTTTTCTCATTCTTTTGTTACTAATTTTGTAACCGAACTGAGTGTTTTGATTTACAGAAGAGTTACGTGGTGGAGGAAAGTGACGAGGAACTGGCGGATGATGGGGAGAAAATTAATGTAGAAGAAGAAGAGGAGGAGGAAGATGAGATTATAGAATCGGATGTCGAGCTTGAAGACGACACCGTTGAGCCTGATAATGATCCTCCGCAAAAGGTATCATCTGATATCGCAATGAATTTCTGTTTTAATATTTTTTTAGTTATTTCTAATTGTTTTGTAGATGGGAGACCCTTCCGTGGGGGTTACCGACGAGAACCGTGACGCATCGCAATCAGCTAAAGCCAAAGCCATGGATGCCATTTCTGAAGGTAAACAAGTCAGTATTTAGTATTTATTTGTCTATTTTTGTTTTGAATTTGTATTTGATGGATCTGTGTAATGCAGGGAAGTTAGAGGAAGCTATTGAGAGTCTGACACAGGCAATTTTACTGAATCCGACATCGGCTATCATGTATGCCACACGAGGTTAGCATTTGTTGTTTAGCCAGTTATATGCTCTGTTTTGTTTACTTTTTTGAGATTGGTTCTTATATTTGTTTGAATGATTTGGTTGCTTCATGATATCTTTTGTTTCAGCTAGTGTTTACATCAAGATGAAAAAACCCAATGCTGCTATTCGAGATGCCAATGCTGCTTTGGAGGTTTGTAAATACGTTGTTGGTTGCCTTGATATAAATGTGGTTTTGCACATTCTTGTATGATAAAATGCTTAAATTGTCCCCAAGCCTTTGGTCTAGTGGCTAAAGGCACTTAGAGGGACATCAAGGGCCTGGTTTCGAACCACCCCCCTCCCCCTTATTTGTACTAGGGCTTTGCCCTCCTGATGTAACAAAAAAAAAAAAATGCTTAAATTGTAATTCTGTGAATCTTGTGAACTGTGTCTTGCATTATTGGCTGATTCAAGCTACATACGTAAGGCATTTATGTTCAGCAATATTGTGTTCCATATTTGTTTCTTCATGTTTTAGGGTTTTCCTGGAAACAATGAGGCCATGTTTGAGAATGAAAATGTTTTACATTTTTCCTTATTCTTATTTTGTAGATTAACCCAGATTCTGCTAAGGGCTACAAATCTCGTGGCATTGCACGAGCAATGCTTGGTCAATGGGAAGATGCTGTGAAGGATCTGCACCTGGCATCAAAGTTGGATTATGATGAGGAAATAAACAATGTGCTTAAGAAGGTTTGTTCTTGTTTGTCCTTTCCTTTTCGCTGTTTCTTTTGAAAGGTTCAATTCATGCATCATAATTCTTGAAAGAGACTAGATTTTAAGATTAGAACAAGTCAAGACAAGAGATTTTAAGTATAATTTTAAACAATTTTGGTTAATTTAAGTTTATTGGAATTTTTCTCCATTTTTTTCTCACATAGTGAACTTCTAGACATAAGCTTGCACTGGTTGACCTAACTCATCCAAGTTATATTGCTTGGTTGTTTTATATTTCTAATTGAGTGATCCGATCAAAATGTGATGTATTAGGTGCATTGATCCTTTCCCAAAGTAATAACTAGGGGTAAGATGCACCTTCTGACACAGAAATGAAGTGTTATTCTCTGCCACCATGGTTTCGGGCAGTACCAGTATCACAAAGAATGAGAGATGGGACTATTGTTGTTGGGTATAAGTTAACTCCTGCTTGGGCATTTCACATTGACTTCTTTGCTTAAACAGGTTGAACCCAATGCACACCGCATTGAGGAACACCGTAGGAAGTATGATAGATTGCGCAAAGAGAGAGAAGATAGAAAGATTGAGTGTGAGAGACGCCGTCGTCATGCTCAAGCTCAGGTAATTTAGCACTTATTCATCTTCTGATAATGTTACCTTATTATTGTTTTCTTTGACATTGATCCACTTCATGATGTCATCAAGGCTGCATATGAGAAGGCAAAGAAGCAGGAGCAATCATCCTCCAGTAGAAAACCTGGAGGCATGCCTGGTGGGTTTCCGGGTGGAATGCCTGGAGGAATGCCTGGTGGTTTCCCTGGTAGCATGCCGGGTGGGATGCCTGGAAATGTTGATTTTAGCAAAATATTGAATGTAAGTATGATAGAACAGATTGTTTTTATTTTTATGAAAACAAGCAACTATATTTTGCTTCTTATATATATGCTATTGCAATTTTTTTCCTTCACATTCTTTTAGGCTGAAATTTCTAGGAAATGTATGTTTTCCACTTTTATAATGAATGCTAAATACTTGAAAAAGGTTACTTGTTATTTTGAAACTTTTGTTTTTGTTTCCGATGTTGATTTTTTTTATTAGGATCCTGAATTGATGGCAGCATTTAGTGATCCAGAAGTTATGGCTGCTCTTCAAGATGGTAACCTTTTTGCTTTACTATGTTTTATTTTTTTCCTCTCCTAGTCATTTTTATTTTTCTTTTCTCTCCTAGATTTGCAATTTGTGAAGTATTTTTTTCTTTTCATCCTTTTTATTTCTTTATCATAGTGCTTTCGATGAACTAGGACTATGCTTGGCTAGTAAATATAAGAACATTTTTTTATCTGGTCTTAGTTTCTGATACATGCTGGGCAAGGGTTCAGCAAATGCCTGATTCTATTAGAATGCAGTTCTGAATGGGGCTCTTATAGGAAACTGCAAAGAGTTTGGCTGAGGCCTTATTCAGATGATTATAGTTTTCTTTGTAGGGTTGTAGTATAATGTGTTCTGGTGTGCTGTAGTCCAATAATATGTATAACTTTATGTACACATAATGATATATTTTTTAGTGTTGGAGTGTCGGACATCTTGGTTAGTCTATTTAAAAATTGGTAGAGTTTTTACATCTTAAACATATATTTTTGGGAAAACTCCTTGTAGTTTAGTAAATAATTTGTCTCTGGAACCTCATTCAGGAATATGTTTTCCACGGAGCTGTCGATTGAGTTCTAATTCTTAGAGTTGATGCATCTTCTTAAATGCTTTTAGTAATTTTCACATTTTTCATTTATCGTTATATGTGCTATATCTAGGCATGGAGTTTTCATCATCGTGGTTGTTTGTATTAAATGACCATGTGTATGCTACATGGAAACTAAAGAACGTATAATTGGACATTCATTATCCTTTTCTTAGGCGCAGATCTTTTTGCTGATTTGTATGCTTAGAATGACTATGCCTCAACATTGTTTGAAGGGCATATTTTCCTTGCACGCTTTCTATTCATTCCAATGTGACATTATGAAGTTAATCTGATTGCACACTATTTAGTCAACATCGAATGTGTTTTTTAAGCATATAATTCAATCGGGCTTAGGAAACTATTCCCATTTCCTTGGGAAATTTTATGGTCTCTTCAAAACATCAGAATTGCTTACACGAGTGCCTGTGAGAGTTTTATGCTTTGTCTAATGGTTTTTAATTGTTCTTGTCAATGGTTTTGCAGTAATGAAGAACCCTGCTAATCTTGCAAAGCATCAAGCGAATCCCAAGGTGGCTCCTGTAATTGCAAAGATGATGAGCAAATTTCCAGGACCTAAGTAAATAGTTTTTCAATTTGGTGTCGCTTATTGGGAAATGCTAATGTTGTGTTCATTTGAAGGAAACAGTGTTTAGTTTTAACTTCTCGCTTACAGTGCCCATGATGGTTGTTTTTCGAATTTGTTTTAGAGTTTGGAACATTTTGTTTTCTGGTTTGTTCTAATAAAAAAAAAAATTGATTGCAAATTAATTGATGAATATTCATCAAGAAAATTCCAATCTTTTAGATCTTCTCTCCTGTAGAATATGGAATGGAACTTTGTGACAAAGAAATCCTCTGCCATTTCTACATAATTTTCCAGTCTGAATTATTTTTAACTATATAACAAGCCTAGTTTGAAAAATGAAAACAACAAGGTCAGAACTTCCGCAGTCCCACCCCAAGCAAAGCCCTGTCCAAATAACCACCACCTCGCAGTTGAAATTGTTAGTAGTTTAGATTGGGGTGTATTTTATATTGGATAAAAAAATTTAATTATTGATGAATAAAATTAATTTTTGTATTAATTTTATTCATATTTAAAATAATTATGTTTGAATAAAAATACTTATCATATGATAAATGATCATAATTATTTGAATATAAATAGATTATTATTTATAAGAGTTATGATTATTAAGAAATTATAATTATTTAAATAAAAATTTATGTTTGCTCATTCATTATAAATAAATTTTTTAGTATAATTGTTTTTATTGCTTCTGATTAGAAAGTTTTAGATTTTATTGTATCATAAAGACATAATTATCTTTAAAAAAATATTTTTCATGTCTTAAAGTCAAAATTATTTTCTATTATTTATCTTCTCTATTTTTTTTTACAAGACAATTGTGAAAATTTTATATTTCGCATGAGGAATATATAAGGAAAAGAAATTGGTATGATTTGACGATCAATATTAAAAAAGGTTTAAAGTGTCAAAGGATTAATGTTTTTATAAACCAAAATATTAATTTTCATAAATATTTTTATTAGAGGTATGTATTTTATTTTTTTCATAATTGCTGATAAAAATATTAATTGAATGAAACAAACACATTAATTATTTATTTTATTAGTGTAAAGTCAAAACACAATATATAAAATATTGATTACATTACATAAATTTATGCATATACTGAAATTGACTCCACAATTGGGTTTAATGAATTGTATTATATTTATTTTAAAAATTGATGCTTATAAATATTAGGATGAGAAATAGCCTGAAAATATATAATAAAAAAAATCATAAATTGATTTACGATCAAAAAAATTATCACTTATTATCAAGCAACGAATTAAATTTGGTTCTAATATAATGGCTGATTGCTTAATTGTCATGTCTTGGTTAACAAGCAAATTGTCCCATAGTTTCATAAAAAACAATAAAAAATGGGTAAAAGAATTTATCATAAGAAATTAGATGCAAGTAAAGAATATACAAAAAATAAAATTTGGCTACAAGATTGGTTTTATTATTAAATCATGACATCAAAATTGAAATAATAAATTAAGTCAAGCTATTTGTATGATTCTATATTTGTTGGTCGTTTTTAATAAAATGTTGATATATATATTTAAAATTTATTATTGGTTCAAAAGTTTGACTAGTGTTTAATTTTCATGAAAATCAATTAAAATTAAATTGATTTGTGAATAATTATTATTAAGATATAGTGTTTCATGGATTAATTAGTGGGTAATAAACCAAATAATTATTATTATAAAAAACATGGGCAGTGTGACATGTATTTTACCTGCAGGATGTGTTACACTAGAAGTGATTTTACAAAACAAAATTTTATTGTGAATAATCACAAAGTAAAAATCATAAAAAGTCGTCAAAGTGTTAATCAATAGTTACAAAAAAGTATTATTGCTTTTTGCATATAAGATATTGATTAAACGAAAAGGCATGCCATTAAAAAAATATTGAAGCATTTGTCGGTTACTAGCATTTTGAAAGATGCTCATCAATGTCTAATCAGGTATGTTTATAAATTAGAAAAGAACATACAAATTCAATGTCCCAAAGGCACCAATACATGCATGTGTTTAATTCCATTTTGTGATGGCATGGAGAACATTGGTACAATTTATCATATATTATAAAAATGAACTGAATGATATAGAATTTTCTTTCTTATACATATAAGAAAGATATGGACTATGGAGATAGAATACCATCCAATTAATACATTATTGGTTAAAAACAATGAAGGTAATTTTACTTATTGCGCCCAAAAAAATGACTTTTTGCAGGCTATTAAAATGAAATGTGAACAAGTTTATGAGGTTTTCAATAGTTTCATGATAATGACAAGGCTGTGGCTAGTTATATACCATATTAACATATGGGCTTAGATAATAATATTGGTTTATGAAAGCCGTAAACCTTAGAGTTAGCCAATCAATGATTTGACCAATGCAAATTCATTACGAACTTTTGCATGAAATATGAGTAGAACTCATATTATAATTATTGTTTATACTATTTTATGAAAATTGTTGGGATATGGTTCACATGTGAGTAAAGAATCTCACATCATTACAAAATCTGAATGAGATATCCTATATATGCATGAAGGACCTAAAAACCTAATAGCTTAAGCTTTTAGGCTCAAGTGGTGTCCAACATGTATGTATGGGTGTTGACACCATTTTATTTATTTTTTTCTTTTTTTTCTTTTTTTTTCTTCTTTCTGGCAGCTTTTTTGTCAGTCGCCTACAGTCGCACTACCAGCGACTCTGACAGTCGTCTGCAAGCCATCGGCAGCCGTTCTGATAGCCGATGGCCGTCCTAATACTAGGCCACCAAAATCCTAGATTTTTTTTGAGATTTTGGTCTTCTTTTTGCTCTATAAATAGAGCAATGAAAATCGATGAAAAAAAAGACCTACAAAAAAAAATCAATCAGATTAAAAAAAAAACTTTTTGTCAAACAAAAATTCAAAGAAAATCGAACACATACAAACACAGAAACAACAGCCTCTAGAAACGAGGGTCACAATGCCAAACAAAAAACAACACTGACACAAAAAAAAATTTCAACCAAATCGTTCAGGCCAGATCTACATCATTTGGAGCCCTTTTTTTTCACGAAAACATGCTTGGATTTAGACTCAGGAGGCTAGGAGCATTCATTTCAAAAAATTTAGGTTTTTTTGACGATCGATAGACGACGGTCGACACGACGATGCAGTCACCGGATACTAAGTTTTAGAGAGAGTGTGTGTGTCTGAGAAGAAAAGAGAGAAAAAAAAGAAGAAAACTGAAAAAAATAGCTGATTTGGCCTTTAAATAGACCTTCAAAATGACATCGTTTAGGAAAGAAGCAAAACAACGTCGTTTCGACCCTAGAAGATTTACGCGTCAACTTGCGACCTCACCCGGGACCCGCGCACCTTACCCGACGACTCGTTCTTCCTTTGACTCTCAATCGGTCTAACTGAACTGATCCAGATCGGGCTAGACTGTCGTCGAACCATCGAACAGATCGAATCGACCAGACCGGCGTTGACCGGTCCGATTCAAGTAAAAAAATTTTTTTTGAATTTTTTAAAATATTATTTTTATTATTTTAAATTTTATTATTAATATTTATGCATATAAAAAATGTTTAAATTTATCAAAATAAATTTTTATTATTTTATAATAATAATTAATAAAAATAAATAATAAAATTTATAATAAAAGTTTTTTGTAAGTTTATTAAATAAAAATAATAAAAAATTAATAAAAAATAAGAAAAGGAAAATTTTTACCCAACGATGCGATTTAAAGGTACTTCGAGTAGTGATACTTACGAAATCTCTAGGTGAGAAAATTTTTTTTTTAAATAATGCCAGTGTATTTGAGTATTTATAAAAAGTTTTCAATACAATAAAAATTTTATTTAATAAAATAATAAAAATTAATTAATAAATTAAGAATAAAATAATAAAAATAAGAAAAAAGAAAATTTTAACCAATGATGAGATTCTAAAAGTATTCTGAGTAGTGATGCTTTACAAAATCCCTAGGTGAGAAGATTTTTTAAAATATTACCAGTATATTAAAATATTTATAGAAAATCTTTAATATAATAAAAATTTCTTTTTCTTCAAAATTTAAATTAAAAATAAAATATCAAATAAAACAATTAATAAAAATTTCTAAAAAAGAGAATAAAATGTGTGCATCAACGTGGTAACATTCTGCATTGCATGCATGGCATAGTTTTTTTACGAAAAATAAATTTGAGCTTTCGAAAATGAGATTCTAAGGTATTCTGAGAAGCGATGCCTAAGAAATATCTAGGTGAGAAAGAGTTTTTCTAATGTTATCAATATACTGGAACATTTTAAGAATTATTTCGATAAAAGGGTTTTAATTTATTTTTCTCAAATAAAATTCAAGCACTATAAAAACCAATTCCTAATAAATGAAAAAATCAAAAAAATTATTTTTTAAACACCGAAAATAATACTGTTTTTAATCAAAATCAAAGGATGACACGTAATTAAGTGATACCATTTTTAAACGGGCGCATGGGGGTGCTAATCATTCCTCACACGTAACCGACTCCCGAACTCATACTGTTTCATAGACCATAAAATTATCTTTTTAATAAATTTTAATTAATTTTATTAAAAAGATAAAATTTAATAGGTGGCCAATCTCACCTAGCCAAAGAAAATTGGTGGCGACTCCGTTATGTTTTTATTTCGTTTTCAAATTCGTCAGGCGGACACAAAACTGTTATGACAGCTTGGTGACTCTATTGGGGACTACTATCCGAGAGTCAGGCCAAAATTAACTATGTGTTATCCTTAAATTTTGATTTAAACAGTCCTAATTATTTTCTTAAATTTTTATTTGTCACTTTCAATAAGAAAAAGCCAAAAAAACAAATTGAAAACGAAAAATTCACACACATTTCACACATTTCTTTTACTATGTCTTTTATGCTTTATTTTTCTTGTATATATTACTCTTGATAAATTAGGAAACATATACACACACAATGACACGATGCATCTCATGCATGAGCTTTATACCTGGGCTCCGTCTCTTAAAGGGAAAGTAAAGTACCTATGCCCTCGTAAGGTGATAACTCCGTAATGACAAATGAAATACTTTCACTCGAATTGAACCCTTTTTCGTTTATAGCCTGTAATGGGTAAGGATTGAAGTGCCTTACTAGTCTAGTGTGAGCGATAGTAAGAAACAATTTGAG